GGGCTGGAGCTGCTCCTGGTCCCTCCGTGGGGCTGGAGCTGCTCCTGGTCCCTCCCAGCACTGGGAGGTGTCCCCTGGATGGGGTCCTGGTCCCCTGGATGTGGGCACTGGTGGATGCTGCTGTTCCTGGGCACCATCCCAGGCTGCCCCAGGGGCTCCTGCTGCCCCAGCCATGGCCAAGGCTGGGTGGGATCAGACCTGGGACCAGCCCAGCCCAGGCTGCCCCGTGTCAGAGCCGAGTTTCCCCTGCCCAGGGTTTGTTGCTGTATCTGTTTCTTTCTTTTCCTGTTCTTGTCTGCTGCGATGTTCATCACCATCATCTCTTCCTCTCCTCCTCCTCCTGTTCCTGTCCCTCCTGTCCTTCCTATCCCTCCTGTTCCTGTTCCTCCTGCTGCTCCTCAGATGCTCAACCCTTGAAGACAGTGTTAAGCAGTACGAGCAGGACCTGGCCAGGAGGCTGTACCAGTCCAGGCAGAGAGCAGCTGCTGCTGCTGCCCCAGGGCAGAGCCAGCCCTCGAGAGCCACCCCTGGGGCAGGAGGAGGCCAATCCAGGTGTGCACAGCTGCATGCTCCTGTCTGTGTCCCCAGGCCAGGGTCAGGAGACCAATCCAGGTGTGCACTGCCCTGCCACAGCTGCATGCTCCTGGCTGGGGGCTCCTGGGGCAGGACCAGGCTGGGCCCTGGTGTGACCCCAGAGAGCAGGGGGTGCTGGGGCTGATGGGGAGGAAGGAACAGAAACCTCTGATGTCTCACAGCTGTGGGGAGGAAGGAAGGAACAGATACCCCTGATGTTTCACAGCTGTGTCACAGGGTCCCAGAGGGGTTGGAAGGAACCTTAGAGATCACCCAGTTCTACCTCCTTTCACACCTTCCACTATCCCAGGGTGCTCAGGGCCCCATCCAGCCTGGCCTCCATGCTCTCCAGCTGGCTCAGGAGGGTTCAGGTGCAGCACCAAGGGGACGGTGAAGCCCCCAGCACTGATCCTGCTTGTGTGACCCTCGCAGTTCTGTCCCCAGCTCAGGTCCCTGTCCTGTTTTTGGCACCCAGTTGATCCATAGCTCCAGGCTCTGTGTGTTTGATCCTCACAGTTCTGTTCCCAGCTCAGGTCCTTGTCCTGTTTTTTGGCACTCTGGGGCTGCCCACGGTGTGCTGGTCCATAGCTCCAGGCTCTGTGTGTGTGGCACAGGTGCCCCCAGGTGTGTTTGGGGGTGGCAAAGGACAGCCCAGCTGTGCCCCTGCCTGCCCTGGGGACACCGGGGGGCTCTGTCCCTCCCCGGAGGGGGTGGCCCTGTGCCCTCAGCAGCACTCACAGCTCCTGTCCCACCCCTGACCCTGTTCCTGGCAGGATGAAGTCCCTGGAGCAGGATGCCCTGCAGGGTGGCACTGTGCCCTGCTCTGTCCCTGCCCTGTGGGGTGGCCCTGTGCCCTCAGCAGCACTCACAGCTCCTGTCCCACCCCTGACCCTGTTCCTGGCAGGATGAAGTCCCTGGAGCAGGATGCCCTCAAGGCCCAGATGGTCATTGCCAAGTCCAAGGAGGGCAGGAAGCGCAGCCCCCTGGAGCAGCTGGCAGAGTCGCCGTCCCCCGCGCCCACGCCGTCACCCACACCCATGGAAGGTATGGGGCAGGGACAGGGGGCAGTTCCCTTCTCCTGGGGGCAATTCCGTCCTTCTGGGGGCAATTCCATCCTTCTGGGGGCAGCAACCCCCTGCTGAGGGGGGCAATGCCCTGCTTATGGGGGCAATGCCCTGCCTATGGGGGCAATTTCCTGCCTCTGGGAAGTCACTGACTGTGCCCTTCTGTCCCCCCCTGCAGACTGCAGCCCCAGGAACGTCACCTCCCCAGGAAGGCTGGTATGGTGTTCTCTTTGCCTTTGTCACCTTTCCCAAACCCTGACACTCCCTGGTATGATGTTCTCCTGCTTGCCTTTGTCCCCTTTCCCAAGCCCTGCTATTCCCTGGTTGCTCAGGCTGGTGTGGTGTTCTCCTGCCTGCTTTTGTCACCTTTCCTAAACCCTGCCATTCCTTTGTCACGCTTCCCAAATCCTGCCATTCCCTGGTTGCTCAGCTCTGCTGGGAGCTCTGGGTCCCTCTCAGTACTTGCTGAATGGTGCAGGGAAGGGAGTGGGGTCTGTGGATGGAACTTGGCCAAACTCCTGGCCAGAGGAGCCCCCTCCTTTACTGCAGCTCCCAGGGCACATCTGCTCTCTGTCCCCTGTTCTATCGAGCCATCCTTTCCATGGTGCTTCACCTCCTTGTTCACAAAGTTTTACACCAGGTCCAGAAAGCCTTTCCCTGGTTCAGAAAGCCTTTTCCGTGTTCAGAAAGCCTTTCCCAGGTCCAGAAAGCCTTTCCCCAAGTTCAGAATGGCTTTGTCTGGTCCAGAATGCCTTTCCCTGGTTCAGAGAGCCTTTCCCAGGCCCAGAAGGCCTTTCCCAGGTCCAGAAAGCCCTTTCCTGGTTCAGGAAGCCCTTTCCTGGTTCAGGAAGCCTTTCCCTGGTTCAGAAAGCCTTTCCCTGGTTCAGAAAGCCTTTCCTGGTTCAGAAAGCCTTTCACTTCCCCTCAGAGACCTTGGCCCTGTGTTTCTCCAGAGCACAAGGCAGACCTGCAGCTGCAATCAGCATTTTCCCTTTCCTAGCCCTGAGTAAAAGCCATGGGGCTGTGTTGCACAGCCCTGTAAGAACTGGTGGGACAGGGCAGGGAAAGCAACAGCAGAGAGGGAGCCTTGTCCTGCCAGGCCACCCCATAACCCAGCCATGGGTGAGATCCTGACTCTGCCCTGGCTGTCAGGAACCTTGCCATGAATTTCCTCAGAACCAGCTTTGCCCCCTGCCCTGGAGTGCATTGACGTTTCACTGGGGCAGGGGATGCTTCCTCTGGGGCTCACACCCCTCCTGCCCCCAGGAGAGCTCCAGGGCAGTGTCCCAGGACTGTCCCACATCCCAGGGGTGTCCCAGGACTGTCCCACATCCCAGGCTCTATCCCAGGCTCTGTCCCACATGCCCAGCCCAGGCTCTCCTGCCTCTCCCTCTGCCCCTGCTGGGCTCTCTGCTTGCCTTGCTCATTGTGCTGCTGCCTCTCCAGCCCTTCCTCTCCCTCACTCTCTCTTCTCTGTTTCTTCCCCTCTGCTGTCCCTTCTAGTCAATGTCTGAAAAGAAGTTTGACTACCGGGAATTTGCTGCTATTCCTTCCTCCAAACCTGTTTACGAAATCCAGGTACAGACTGCATGCTGAGCCCGCTCTGCACAGCCTAGGCCCTGCTCTGGTGCAGGAGCTGAGGCTGAGGGGTTTGGGGAGCCCTCTGCAGAGCCCTGGGGCAGGGACACCAGTCCTGCTGGAAACTGGGGGCTGCCTGGAGCTTCCAGCCAAGAGGAGTCAGGGAAGGGTTGGTCCAGGTGGATTTAAAATGAATGACAAAAGCTTTGCAGATAGAAAACATCTGCAGCTTCACCAGAATGGCTCCTGAAATAGTGTTAAGTGAAAGATGAGAACAGAAAGGGAAGAAAAGGTGACAGAAATGATGGCTAGCAAATGCCACATTGGAGCAGATGTAACTTGCAGCTGGGCTGTGCCTGTGTCCTGCAGCTGGGTGTTCTCAAGCTGTAACCCTGCTGGCAGTGAGCTGTGGGGTCAACACCTGGTTCTGAGGGTGAGAGACATGCTGAGGTGCTTCTCCCTCCTCACATGGGCTGTTCTGAGCTCTTTTGTCATGGGTTGCCAGCTCTGGAGGTGACCCTGACCCCTGGCCCTGCTCTGGGGGCCACTGGAACCAACCTTGTGGGGCTGGGAGCTTAAACTGGGTCAGTCAGGCCCTGGTGGCATTGGTGACAGCTGAGTTGGGCAGGTTTCCTGTGTCTGAAGGGTTTAGGTGGGTTTTTAGTGTCTGAAGGTTCTGGGTGGGTTTTTGGTGTCTGAAGGGTTCAGGTGAGTTTTTAGTGTCTGAAGGGTCCGGGTGGGTTTTTAGTGTCTGAGGGGTTCGGGTGGGTTTTTAGTGTCTGGAGGGTTTGGGTGGGTTTTTAGTGTCTGAGGGGTTCAGGTGGGTTTTTAGTTCTGTGTGCAGAGCATGAAGCAGATTCAGGGTGTGGAGAGCCAGCAAGCACTGCCACACTGGGGGACAGCTCGCTGTGGGGACACACAGGTGGCACTGCAGACACAAAGATGTCTCTGCAGACACAAAGGTGGCACTGCAGACACACATGGGACACACAGGTGTCACTGCAGACACAAAGTTGTTACTGCAGACACAAAAGTGTCACTGCAGACACAAAGGTGGCACTGCAGACACACATGGGACACACAGGTGTCACTGCAGACACAAAGGTGTCACTGCAGGCAGGCTGGCCATGGCAGAGTGCACTGTGAGGATTCTCAGGCAGTTCTGCTTTATTTGGTGTCTGTTCTTCACTGACACCTGTCCCTCGTGGTGGTGCTCTGCTCCTGGAATCATCCCTCATTTTCCTGGGGTGCCCTCCTTTGGGACGTGCCCTCTGCAGTGCC